AGCAGTACCCTTGAGTGGTGGGTAGAGAGCCTATATGATCTATTTTCCAGGACTGGTCACATCTGGTACCCCTGGCTAAGTGTCCCAGAGTTCTCTTTGCTATTCAACTGCATAGCTGACAGCCTGGCCATATTTGCCGGGCTTTCTTGACCTCTTGTGCTAAAATCACTACGTCTCATTTTGGGGCTTAGTCCTGAATTATAGATGGATTATCATCCCCTGTGTGATAGTGTAACCAGGTAGCTATGGTCTTTACCTTCCTTATCTAATCATCTCGTAGGTTCCATTGATGTTCATTCTCATAAGGTCCTTTTCCATGGGCATCTACATGGTCACAAACAGGAGATGTGGGGCCTTGTACAACCTGCTACCATAATGCTTCATCCCCACAGAGGCTGAAACATGGTCATCCAGTTGTCCCACTGCATCACACCACAGTGCCCCTCCATCAGCTATTGCCCCTGAGTCAGTGAAAATGTAACAAGGTGCATTTCAGGGGATATTTTCCAGGGGAAGCACCACCGCCTGCAGCTCCTCCCCTCAAGCAGAGTTCTCTTTTCCATGCACGGCTCTAAGCAGTTTTCTTTGAGGCGGCACAGCAGCAGCGGCCCACTACATCCCGTCTGCCTTTAATTCGCTGATATGTTCTTGAACCAGGCCCAGGAATACTCAGGAATCTGAGCGTACTGAAGCTCTCAAGAAGCCCAAGGTGCTGGCACAGACACTGCATCTGACATAGCTGCAGCTGGGGGGTGACTCCTCACTTATTCATGGAGATGTGAGATGCCATGAATGACCAGTTTGCTTCCTCCTGACTACACCACTTCCACTTAAAATGGACGCTTGGTACGCAATACTTACTTTGTTGGTGTTCTCATTTCTAACCCATAATAGGGATGTCAGGGTGTAACATACCCTGCTGTTGCTTTGTTGGTCTCTCGGCATCAAGCGACCAATAATAAGCCAATAATTGTCTCTCCCATGGAGTATATTTGATGTACTAGGTTGAATAGTGGCCCCCCAAAATTCATGGCCACCTGGAACCAGAGAATATGACTTATTCGGGAATACAGTCTTTGCAGATATAATCAAGTTAAGATGAGGTCATACTGGATTAGGTGGGCCCTAAATGCAACATGACTGGTGTCCTTATAAAAAAAGGGAAATTTGGACATGGAGACACAGCCACATGAGAAGAATGTGATGTAATGACAGAGGCACAGATTGGAATGATGGGTCTACAAGCCAAGGAATGCCAAGAATTGCTAGCAACCACCAGAAACAAGGAAAAGGCCAAGAAGGATCCTCCCCTAGAGCCTTCAGAGAAAGTATGGTCCTGCCCTGATTTCGGACTTCTTGTCTTCAGAACCATGAGACAACAAATTTCTGTTGTTTTAAGCCATCTAGTTTGTGGTACTTTGTTATGGCAGCCCCAGGAAACTAATATATTGGTTGATGGTGGCAGGTATGTGCTATGTCCAAAACCCCAGGGGATGCCATTGCCTAGTGGCCACATCTCTTTGCCACAGGCTCCAGTCTGCATAAGTGTCAGTCACTGACACTTGCAGTTCAAAAGGCTTGTTAGGGATGACTGGCAGAGTGGAGGTGGAAACTATACGTTGTTGGATAGTTTCTAGGGCCCGTGGTTGGCCAGTGCCCCTTTTGAGTGATTTTATGTAATGAGTGCAGCTGGATCCTCATGTGAGGTATGAAGTTCCTCCAACACCCAAACAAGCCTGTCAGATGTTGTGCCTCATTTTTGTTTGTTAGAGGTTTTAAAGCCAACAGTTTTTCTTTAACAAACCCAGGGCTTTTTCTCTGGGCATCATCAGCCCACATGGTTCCCAAGAAGCTTACTTGAGTGGTTAGCCCCTGTATCTTGTTGGGATGTTAATCTTCCAGCCCTGGTTCAGATACTGACTCATCTTATGAAAGGCAGTCTGTATGTTATCCTTAGCCCTTCCAATCAGAATAATGCCATCAATGTAATGGTACCAGGACACCTCTGGTGATATTTCAGCCTTTTCTAGGTCTCAGCCTATCCACCAGTAATGTTTAGGCAGCCTGTGGCAACATGATAAAATAAAGGTAATTAGAACTTTGTGAAGGCAAATTGGCTCTGATCTTCAGGATGCAATGGGATGCTGAGAAGGCATTAGCAATGTCCACGACTGCAAAACAGACACTTTCAGTGTGCACTATGGACTCCGTGATTGTTAAAATTGGAACGGTGTGTGAGAAAGACTACTGTCACATTGAGCTCATGGTAGTCCACAGTCAAGTGCCAAATAACATTGTCTTTTTCCACCGGCCACTGAGGGCTAATATGTGACATGGTTTCTTTAAGCACCTCTGCCTCCATTAGCTCCTTGATCAGTATAGTGACCTCTGACCTCTTCCACTCCCCCTATCTCCCTTCGCCTGCATCCTATACTGCTTCACAGTAACTACATGATTATACTCGAGAGGTCTAGTAGGCTCCAGGTTGTGTACTTGTGCCACTACCACTGTTCCAATCATGGCGTTTCCCCATTGGGAACATCCCTTATGATCAAGAGAATTATTACCTATAATTAACACATTTATTCCCACAATACATTCAGCAGTATCAGTGACAACCACTTGAGTGGCTATTGCCCCCAAAGAGCCCACCTATAAAGTTATACCAATCCATTGTCCAATCTGAAAATTACTTCCAAATCCACTTCAAGTAATTTTTTTGACCATGCCCAAGGGCGATTCCTAGCACCACAGAAACTTATGTTCCAATGTCCAGAAGGGCTTAAAACGTTTAGCAACCTTGGTCATTGTCAAGTCCTCAACATACCTTGACCAGCGTATGTGGCCCTGGGTCCCTCTCAGGGAAGGACAGACCTTTGCCTTTATTCCAGTCCTATTTGTTCTTAAAGTAGGTAAGGTCTGGAAAGAGGCAATATTGAAGGCATTGGATCAACATCAATCCAAACAGCACAGACCTCTGCACGGGGATCTAGGTCCTCTTGGTCCTCTTCCCGTTTGTCCACAATAAATGCTAAAGCTGGCTGGCTGGGTACCTCCCCTTTACAGAAGATATACAAATGGACACATCAGGGAAACTTAAATTAACACCACCACACACCCACCATAAAGGTTAAAAAGGAAAAGACATACGATATTATGTGTTTAGGATGCAGAGCAACTGGAACTATAATACATAGCTGGTGGATTTGCAACTGGAAAACCACTTGGGAAAACCACTTTGGAAAACTGGCAATATATACTGAAGCTAAACTTATGTATAAGCTATGACCCAGCAATTCCCCTCCTAGGTATATATGCAACCAATATGCGTACATATACACAGCAAAAGATACAGACAAGAATGTTCATAGAGCACTATTCCTAGTAGCCCCAAGCTGAAAACAAGCCAAATACCATCAACAATGAGAATAAACAAACTTCACTGATTAATCTCACAAACAGAATATTTGGCGAAAGAAGTCAGATCAAAGGGGAAAAAAGTACATTCAACATGATAACATTTAAAAAGTTCAAAATCAGGCAAAACTTATCTATGTTGTTCTAAGTCAGATGATGGATACCTTTACAGGAGACCAGTAGGGGTCTTCTGAGGTGCTGCTCACACGGGTTTGCAACTTTATCCAGCTTTACTCTAATGATTTGGGCACGTTTTGTATGTTATATTCAAAAACTGAATTTGATACCGAGCAATGGGCTCGCTCTGCTCACCACGATCTGAGCCTATTAATCACAAGTTAGAGATCAAGAAACAAAGTTTAATTAGATTGGCTGGCAAATCAGAAGACAGGTGACTAATGTCTCAAAGACCCATCTTCAAAGATTACAGAATCTTGAGGGCGTTATATGGGGAAAATGGGCAGTAAGGAGGGAGTCCAGGGATGTTGCTCTCCAGGCACCACATTGTTCCATTCTTCTGTCAGCTGTGATGGATACCTTGTAGTTGTATTTCCTGCCTGCAGTCAGCCTGTTCCTAGAGAGAAACTCATAGAACAAAGTTTTAATTTATCAAGCTATTGGACAGTACATATCTAAATAGAGGCCATGAATCAGGAGAGCATGTGAATTTTTTGGAGTATGTGCCGTGCAGCGAGCAGTCACACGGAGGAGTGGCTGGAGCCATTTAATGTAACAAGATGGCCTCACTTATGCTCACTTACATACTTTAAACACTTAAAATTTTTTTATTTAAAAAAAATCATAAAAAGTCTCAGGCACGGCAGCACAATCACACCCCAGTGTCACAAGCTGAAGCAAACGCCTTCAAACCAGCAGTAAAGAGTCACCCTCCTATGCCCTCCTCCCCGCCAGGCCTGGCTGCGGTCAGGGCCGAGGATTCCTCTCCTTCAGCCTCCTCAGACACCGCTCTATCTTCCCCAACGCCGGCCAGGTCTCCTGGCCTCCACCACTCTGCGGCGGCATCCACGACAGCCAGGCCTAACCGCGAGCTGACAGATCAAGACTACCCGCTCCGCCCTCGGGGGTTCCCAGGCCGCACTACACGTCCCAGAAGTCCCCGCGGCGGAAATAAACTTCCGGCTGGAAGGCGAGATGGAGCGCCGCACCGCAAAGCCGCGCCTGCCGCGGGTCGAGGGGATTCGCCTTAGTCAGCCGCGGACCCGCAGGTCGCGGGCTGGCACCGCCGGAGGATGGCCGTGCTGAGAGGAAGCAAGAGGCTTGGGGTGCTGGCTCTCTCCCGGCTTCCGTGTTCTGGACTACATTTCCCATAGGCCTCCGGGTGTCACGTCACTTTCTTCTGCGTTGTCTTGGCTGTTGTGCTGGGCGAGTGGAGCGGCGCGGCGCGGAGGGAGCGCGGCTTGTTGGTCTGTGTTGCGACAGCCGAGACCGGGCCGGATTCCAGGAGAAGCGAGAGGTGAGGCGTGTCTGAGCTTGGGACGGAGGCCGGCGGTGTCTGGAGCCTCAGGCGTTAGCACACCAGCGTGTGTGTGCGCGATGTGTCTGTGAGGCTGCATGCTTGAGTGTGTGACCACATGAGAAAGTGCTAATTGTGTCTCCAGCCGAGAGAGTGGTTGTGTGAAGCTGTGCGATGACCCAGTGACCCCGATGTCATTGACTGTCTTTATGTCCCTGTTCCCTCCTCAACCGTGCCCAGCCAGGAGCCGATACGGGGCGGGCAACAGTAGGGTGAGAATTGCTCACGCTGAGGCCATTTGTGAGTTCGAGGGTTTCTGGAAGCTTATGGTTGTGAGGTCTCTGTGGCTGACTGCTCCCTCTACTTGTAGCCACGGGGTCCCAGATTCCCTAGAAATGGCCCCTCCCGATGTGGGACGATAGAAAGGTGAGTCCCAGACTAAAGATTTCAGATAAAGAAACGTGTCTCCAAGTCGCGACCTGATCTCAGAATGAGAATTGTAGAGCCAGAAGCAGCCCCAAGTTCGGGGGGCTGAGAAGAAAGGAGGGAAAAATCGAGGTAGTAAGATGCCGCTCTCTCCCCTCAGGAGTCCACCTGGGGAGCCCTTGGGGATTCTCGACCTCCTGTGGTGCCCAGAGAGGGCCGCTTTGCCCAAGTCTCCCTCTGACCTTCCGCTGAATGGCTGCTTTAGCTCAAGGGAGTGGAAGTAGAAGATGTCTAACAAGTCAGGCTGGCCTCAAAGAAAGGCTTGGTGTCTCAGGATTCATTATCCCTTACCTACTAATGGCCTTCTCCTACACAGGCGACCAGAGAGCAAGGGAAGAGCAACTGTTGGACAACTGAGAGTTTTATCCGAGGTGTGTTGTTATTTTCTCTTCTATCTCCGAAGCGCTTTCTGGTTTTTTCAAGATAGGCGAACATTTGGATCCTTTTAATGATCTGGTCCTTGGGCCTTGCTATTCCAAAGAATAATGGGGGCAGAGGGAATGGACCCAAAAAGGCTCTTCCACTCCATTTCCGTCCTTTTCATCTGAGGTGCACATATTCATGTGGCAAATATTTCAATTCTGTCTCCGTACTTAGTCTTTTTCCAAGATTTTTGAAGGAATAGAACACATCCCTCAGAGTGAAATTTGAAAGCCTTTATTTTTAGTATTTTCTTTTCAATTTTATTGTTTAAGAGATAATCCTCTTAAGTATTAAAAAGATTCAGAAGAGTACACAGCAAATTCGCCCTCTCAGCCTTGCCCCTAGTCATGTGGTTTTCCCACTTCAGAGGCAACCAGTGTGTCTAGTTTCTTGAGTACTTCCAGGGGAATTCTATACATATATTAGGATATGAAGGGCTTCCTCACTTTTTATAGCTGCACAGTATTCCATGCTTCTATAATTTTTAAAACTGACCCCTGTTAATGAACTTTCAGACGGCTGTCAGTCTTTTGCTATTATAAACAATGGTGGGATAAATATTCTTGGTATATATGTCATTTAGCTCATTGATGAGTTTATCAGTAGCGTGAATACTAATTTCTGGGCCAACTTACATGTGGACATCAAATTTCAATAATTTTTGCTATATTGTCCCTCAAGGAGGCTGTACCATCACTTTCCTAACCAATATTTTCTGATTTTATGTTTCAGTCAAGGTATTTTGCTGGTTGTTGGAAAGTTTAAGGAAATTATTAATATGCTCTTAACAGAGTTTTTCAAACTATAGGGTTATTACCTGATTTTTTATGTATGGTAAAATCAATTTACTGAGCCATGATCAGCATTTTCATTAACTTTTTATTATAAAAAATTCAAACATGTACAAAAATCGACAAAATAGCAATGAACCTCTATGTACCACTTTGCTCAGCTTCAATAATGATTGACTCATGACCATTCTTGTTTAATCTATACCTCTGTCCGCCCCAGGATTATTTTGAAGCAAACACCAGGCATTGTAGCATTTCATCTATAAATATTTCAACGCATATATGAATGATGAAAAGTCTTTTACAAAGCTTAATCACAATACCATTATTCTCCCTAAAAAAAGTGAATAATACTTCCTTAATATCAGATGTCCAGTTACTGTTTGGATTTCCCCACAGGACAAATAACTTTTTTTTAATTTTAAGGTTTCTTTGAATCCAGGTCCAAATAAGATCCATGCATTGTGATTGGTTCATAAGTCTTTTAATAAAATCTTTTTAGAAATCTGTAGTTTCTCATTCTCCTTCTTTCTATCTCTCTTTCCTTGCAATGAATTTGTTGAAGAAACTGAGTGATTTGTCCTGTACAGCTTCCCACAGTCTGCTATCATTAACAGATTTTTATGTGTTTTCTGTACTTAGAAGTTATATCTAGAGGCTTGATCAAGTTCATGTTTCTTACTTCTTTTTTTTTTTTTTTTGGCAAAATGACTTCATTGATGGTAATATATACTTCCATTAAGAAGTACATAATGTCTGCGTATCTCTTTTTGTGATGTTTGCTGTTATTTCATTAATGGTTGCTAAATAGTTATATGCTAATTCATTAATTCTTATCTTGATAATTGGAGTACTTCTCTAAAGTGAAAATTCCCTTCATCACCTGGTTATACTGAGGTACAGACTGTTCCAGGGAAGCAGGACAGATTCTTTCTCTTAATTTTTAAGTTTTCAAACTGAGGAAATAATGAACAATAATGAAATAATGGTTTGCTAGCATCCTCTCCTGGGGACCAGTGATTTTTATGTTTTACTATCATTATGAATGTATGGATTTTGATAAATTTACATGTTTCAATCTATTGCAGTTGTTCTATTTCTGTGGACTTAAATTAGCATTTTTCTATATTTGACCAGTTGGAGCCTATTCAGTTTGGCTATGGGTCCTTTTGACTTGGTCCTAGTAGTCTTTGATAGCTGTCTTGGTTTTCAGTATATCTTTTTAGTCAAGAGTTGACAGGGGCTGGCCTGGTGGTATAGCAGTTAAGTTCACGTGTTCTGTCTCGGCAGCCTGGAGTTCGCAGGTTCGGATCCTGGGCACAGACCTACTCACCACTCCTCAAGCCATGCTGAGGCAGCGTCCCACATAGAAGAGCTACAGCTCTACAATTAGGACGTACAACTATGTACTGGGGCTTTGGGGAGATAAAAGAAAAAGAGGAAGATTGGCAACAGATGTTAGCGCAGAGTCAATCTTCCTCAAAAGAAAACAAAAAACAAAAACTTCTCTTATTCCTCAAAAACTGTTATTAAAAAAAAAAAGAGTTGACAGACTTTTCTGGAAAGGGCCAGGTAGTTAATATTTTAGGCTTGTGGGTCTCAGAGTCTGAGTTGCGACTACTCAGCTTTGTTGTAGAGTGAAAGCAGCCGCATATAATCTGTAAACAAAGGCATGTGGCTGAGTTCCTGTGAAACTTTATTTCCAAACACAGGCAGTGGGCCTACCAAATAGGAGCAGAGTTTAAAAGGTGAAATTTGATATCTAATTTAGTGGATGCTAATAGAGACGGTTTAGTTTTTACAAAGAATAGGTGTCAGCTCCAATTTTTAAGTAAACACCTCCCACATGCACACCTTCTCACACACACTTAATGGAAATCAAATTCCCTGGAACACCCATGGGAGAGAAATGCTATTACTGTTTCCAAAGCAGTTGTCAGATTTCTGGTTAATATCTCAAATAAGAGCCTCACCTTGTATGTGAAAAGGCCTCTTATAAACTTGATGATTTGTTCAGGAAAACAAATGAAATGGATAGATGGAATTTATTTGGAGTTAAATTTGAGAGAAAAGGAGAAGCAGAAGGCTCATTTTATTATGTGTTATTTTATTCTTATGCATTTTTATCCTGTTGGTGAGGTCATTGGCTGAGTAATGCCCCAAATAGGACTGGTCTCATTGCAGGTACCCAGAGTACTTGAATTGTATTAACTTAATGTTGAAAACAAAAACAAAAGCAAGCAGTGGGCTAGATTTGGCTAAGAGACCATTATTACTCTGTTCTAGACTCTCATACATTTCCTGATTCAGACTCCTTTATGTTAATGGGAAATGGTATTTCAAGACTATAGTCTAGTTGCTAGGATCTTCATTGTTACTGGGTTGTTCATTGTTTCTATGGCTTTACAAAGCTAATATATAGGTATTTTTTTAAAGATTAAAAAATAAACTTTCACAGCCCCGAGGAGCCTAAAGAGACATGATGACTCAATGTAATGTGGTATCCTGGATGTGAGCCTGGAACAGAAAAAGGACAAAAATCCTGATTTATTCCACACTTTATGAAGAATACTCAGAATAATAAGACCGATCAATGATTTGATTACTGAAAACAGTTTTTCGATTTTGTTTGTTTATTACAATCTTTTTGCTCTTTAGGGTGTATCCCACTAGGGAGATGCAATAAAATTGCTGTATTTTAAAGTCATTTGGAATAGTTCCTCTTGAGAGGTTAAGCCACCAATTGGAATCACCGATTTGTTTGTTTCACTTTCACTTTTTAGAGATTGGTCTTTTAAAATTATAATTTTGACCTATAATTATGTAAAGTATTTACATGGCCCCAAAGTCAAATATGCAAAATAATGTTTAATTCTATGTCTCTTCCCCCATAGCCTTACTTTCTACCTATAAGTAGCTATTGTTTTCTATTTTATAGTTTATTGCACCTTTTAAAATATATAAGAAAGTATATAGTATACAATACTATAAGAAAGCATGAGTGTGTATTTGTGCAGCTGCTGTGGAAAGTAGTCTGGAGGAGTGATGACTAATGAGTGCAGGATTTCTTTTGAGGTAATGAAAATGTTCTAAAATTGATTATGGTGATGGACTCTGAACATACTAAAAGCCAATGAATCGTACACTTAAAAGGGTGAATTTTATGGCATGTGAATTAAATCTCAATAAAATTGTCTTAAAAAGTGTGCTCTTAAATAAAAATAAGGAAAAAAGAGTGATGCACTCACTATCCCCACTTCTGTTCAATGTTTACTTCACATTGTAGGCACTGCAGTAAGACTAAGGGGAAAAATGGTAAAAAGTCTAACCATTGAAAAGCAACAGGAAATTGATGAGCAGATAATATGATTTTCTATAGGGAAACAACAAAATATGGAAGTATTCTAAAAATTAAGAAAAGAAAAATCAACAAATATATAAATAAGAAACAAAGTTCAGTGGCATTTATCTTTTGGAAATGTTGCCAGCTTATTTTTGAAAGGAATTGCTAGGAATGGAATACCTGGATCAATGGATAAATGCTTCTGTAATTTCCTAGTTACTGCTAAATCCTCCTCCTTTGAGGTTGTACATTCACTCAAGCAACATTTTGGTGCTGGTTTTCCCACGGGTCCTCCCACAGACTGTACTGTCAAACTTTGGGGTATTTTCCAATGTTATTGGTCTTTCAGTGTAATTTTAATTAGCATTTCTGTCATAATGAGCAAGGTTGAGCATCTCCTTATATACTTTAGTGTATTTGCATTTGTTTTTCTGTGAACTGTCCATTCCTGTTTTTAAAGCTGTTTGATATATTATTTATGTTACTCCTTTCTCTGTAATATAAGTTCCAAATGCCTTTTCCCATGTTGTCATTTACCCTTTTCTTTTACTTACGGTGTTTTTCCATTCAATTAAAATAAATTTTTTGTAGTTAAATATCCATCTTTCTCTTATGACCTGTATATTTGTCTCATGGCTAGGTAAATTTCTCCAACTCCTAATTTCAGAAAAATCCAGGCATTGTTTCTTCTTGTACTTACATGATTTCAATTTTTACATTTCTCTCTCGGCCCCATCTGAAACTTAATCTGATGTGTTGTGAGAAGTAGTGCAATTTCATGATTTTTCATATGACTATCTACTTATCCCATCAT